ACAAGGCCCAGGTACCCAGAAGCGCGTACAATGGCCACAACAAAAAACATCGATTTCTGAAATTAGGGGGTATCTTTTTGGGGTCCTTGTTATAAGGGGATCCTACTAGTTGAAGATCTATATTGGGGTCCCTATTTTCGTACTATACCCCCCCGTACCCCCCCCCCCCGATTTTAGGTAAAGAGCAGGGACAGGAGGACCATATCCGGAAGTTTTCGGGCAGCGGTTCAGCTGACCGACTCTACAATCTGAAGGCCATACGCGATGAGCTGCGTGCAGCACTCTGATCATGGCTTGGGACGTTCCCCCTTGTACTAGCAGTCCTTAAAAGGGATTCTAGTAACCCCCTATGTTCATTCCTGCTAGTATACTCGGGAACATCCCAAACTAGCGTCGTCGCTGCTCTTTCATGGAGTTGGTGCTCGGGGGGTTCCCTGCTGGCATTTGTTTTCCAAGTTTGGGGGGGGGGGGGGGGGGGGGGGGGCTTGGGAGACCGGTTTAGGGTTTAGGGGGTTGGGGGTTTACGGTTTACGGTTTACGGTTTAGGGCAGGTCCCCGGCAAAGGCCGCAAATGAGGACTGAACCCTCAGAGCCACAGCACCTTCAAAGTGGGTTAAGGGTTTCGGGCTTGGGGGTGAGATTCAACTCTTTAAATTCAGGTTCTGTTCGGGCCCCTGTTTTACTCTGGCCCCCGTCTCTGAGGGGCACCCATAAGGGTGAACAACTAACCCTAAACCCTAAACCCTAAACCCTAAACCCTAAACCCTAAACCCTAAACCCTAAACCCTAAACCCTAAACCCTAAACCCTAAACCCTAAACCCTAAACCCTAAACCCTAAACCCTAACCGCTAAACCCTAAACGCTAAACCCTAAACCCTAAACCCTAAACCCTAAACCCTAAACCCACCCCCCCCCCCCCAAAAAAAAAAAAAAAAAAACTTAAAGACCCCAACTTGCTATAAACTTCAGCCCGGAGGGCCAGGGCCTGCGCTGCCTTGGCCGCCTGGCCCGCAGTCATGGCGCTCCTGATGCTTCCACTCTGAGTGCAACCTTTAAGACCTTTCCCCTGCACCCCAAACCCTAAACTCTAGCCCTAAACCCGAAACCCCAAACTTAGACCCTAAACCCTAAAAAACTTAGCCCTAAACCCTAAACCACGAACTTCGGGTTTTAACCCTTCAGGGTGTTTTTGTTTGATGCGCCTTTGTAGAGGCTGTGGGGCTTCCAGCTGATGTCTTGGTAGCCCAGGAACCACATTATCATCAGGGTACCCTGTTTGAGGTTGGTTACTTTACAAGACAAACCTAGAGCCAGCAAAAGGGCAAAAGGGTACCACTGGGCTACCTGGATGTTATTTGTGTATGTGTGTGAGTAAAAGGGTTTTAGGGTTTAGGGTTTAGGGGTACGAATTGGGGTTGTTCGGTTGGAGTGCTCCTTCTTGGTTCTGAGAACCTGACATGCCCAGCCTTCCTAATTAAATTAGTTTCAAGAAAGGCTCTTCGTATGGGCCCTTGATTGGGGGGGGGGCCTACTTATATACCCCTAAGAAGAACTGAGTCAGAACCCGTACACAAAAGGCAAAGGAACAATATTAAGCGACCATGTAACTACCCTTAGAAGTCCGACTGCCATAGACCGCTCTGCATAGACCCTATCGCAAGATTCCATAGACCGCAATTCCCACCAGAAGTCCGACCCTTAATCTGCATTTGCCAGGAACATTCACACGGCGAATCTCCCAAAACCTGTGCCACTCTCCATAAGAGTGAAGCTATACTCCTCTTGGAACCTGAATGAACATACTACTTTTAAATATTTCCTAGGGTTCTACAAAATAAATCCTAAGGGGGCTCTTGGAAGAAACCCCCGAAAGCGGCGTGAGGGGACGAATCACTAGAAAAACCCTAAGCCCTAAACCCTAAACTCTAAACCCTAAACCCTAAAGGCCCAAAAAACACCGGTGTATCCAGGTCCTGGGGCCCGAAGCTTACCGGGTTTAGGGCCCTCAGCTCCCCCCAAAACCGACATGCTAAACCCTAACTAAGGAAGCCCTAAACCCTAAACCCTAAACCCTAAACCCTAAACCCTAAACCCTAAACCCTAAACCCTAAACCCTAAACCCTAAACCCTAAACCCTAAACCCTAACCCTAAACCCTAAACCCTCAACCCTCAACCCTCAACCCTCAACCCTAACCAAGGAAGCCTCAACCCAACCCCGCTCTGCCAAGTAGCTCCACTAGCTCCATGTAGCTCAGCAGCTCCCTCGCCTCCTCAAGGGCTGCTTTTCGAGTTGGTTAGGGTTTAGGGTTTGTTTAGGGTTTAGGGTTTAGGGTTTAGGGTTTAGAGTTTAGGGTTTAGGGTTTAGGGTTTAGGGTTTAGGGCTTAGGGCTTAGGGTTTGGGGTTGAGTTGCAGGTTTGCAAACCCCCCCCCCACACACACACACACACACACACAGACACAGAGCCAGAGCCAGAGCCAGAGACACACACACACACACATACACACACACACACACACAAGCACACAAACACACAACACACAAGCAAACAAACAACGAAAGAACAAACACGAACAAACAAACAGACAACTAAGCAAACGCCGAAAAAAAAAACACAGACAAGCAGACAGAAAAAAACAAACACAGGCAAGCAGACAGAAAAAACAAACACAGGCAACAGATTCAACACTCATGTGTTCAATTCGCATGTCCGTTGCAAGGTGCAATCACTAATCGGGGAGGGGTGTTGTCAAAATATTAGGGCCTAAGCACCAGATGTGGACACCGCACGTGCGCTCAAGAAACCACGTATCTGCGCTGAGAAGCTGGAAGCTCGCGATGGAGGCCATCGAGCGTCTCGCGAAATGCCTCCTGCAAAGAAGCAGGCGCTACAAGCTCTGAGCTGGAGGGCTTGTGCTTGTGAAGTAGCAGGTGCGGCTTTGGCTCGACAGTGCATTGGTCATCGCAATTAATACGGAAAATAATCGTCATGGTGTATAAACAAATAACAAGGGACATATATATATATATATATATTTATTTATTTATTTATTTATCTATATTTGTACATATACATACATACAAACATACAAACATACATACATACATTACTACATTACTTACATACATACATACATACATGCATGCATGCATACATACATACATACATACATACATACATACAATATATACAATATATACAAACCAAGAAATCTCTCTCCCTATACATATACATAGAAAGATAGACAGAGAGAGATAGATAGATATATAGGGTGGGAAGCCGACTCAAGAAAGCAGCCACCTGAACCCCAAGACCCTAAACCCTAAACCCCTGGCGGGTCCACGGTTCTCACGCATTGAGTGCGGACCCTAGGCAGGGCTCCTCGGCGAGCAGCGCCTGCGACCAGAATAGTTTAGGGTTTAGGGTTTAGGGTTTAGGGCAAGCTTAGGGTTTAGGGTTTAGGGTTTAGGGTTTAGGGTAGACAGTGAATGCTGGATTCAAACACTCGCCGTAGATGTTTGCCTTTTCTCAGCTGCGCATACATTGAAGTGCACATAAAAATTCGTCAAAGCGGCATGGTTCGTGTTCGTGTCCCTGTACAGCTTTAGCTGGCCCAAGCTGCTCGATCATCCGACAGCTTCTGAGGCAAAGAAGCCTACCCAAATTTAGGGTTTAGGGTTTAGGATTTAGGGTTCAGGGAACTCTCTACCGGATAGTTTTACAGATGGTCCGGTCTTCCTCCGGCACTGTGCAACTAAACTTCAAAAATTCAACTTTGCCCACTCGTCAGCTCCAAATGCCGTGGGTTCCTTGTGGCCGCACGGCTCCGAAGCCGCGAGCCGCCACTGAAAGAGGAAGTCACGAGCCCTGACCCATCCGCTGCAGCTGGCGAATGAGAATCCCGAAACCCTAAACCCTCATCCTAGTTTGGGGGGTTTACGAACATAAAGTGGCCCCCTAATAGAGACCCCCAAATAGTAGGATTCCCTTGTCATGGGGACCCCAAGAAGGTCCCCGAATTTCGGAAACCCCCGCTAAACCCTAAACCCTAAACCCTAAATCCTGATGAGGCTTGCGGCTGTCTGAGGGTAGTTTCATGGGCCCTTACAAAGGTCCCTAACCTCCTTTAAAGGGTTCTGATGAAAGGGCCCTTAATTTCTCTCCGGGATGTAACAGGTATATAAGCGGCACCCTTTTAAGGGCCCATACGAAGGGACCATGTAATTACCCATACAGGCTGTCCTCACCCTATAAACTCTAAACCTCCGGACTTTGGGCTTCGTGGCTTCGACTCTCCAGATCGTCAGGCTGTGAGACGTGTTTTTCCGGCAAGTTCAAGGACAAGCTGAAACACTGGTTTAGGGGACTAGGTAGCCAACCCGAAGCCCTAAACCCTAAACCCTAAGCCCGGTAGCCATATAGTTGGAGTTTCGGGTTTCGGGCTTGGGGTACCTGATCTTACTTGGCAGACTTCTGAACCCCTCCTAAAAGTTAAACTTTTAGCCCCCTTATTGTAGGTATAAGGAAACCCAAAAAGTTAAAGTCCTAAGAGCCAACCAGAAGACAGCCAAGCTTTGTTAGGCCACCGGGCTACCTGAGGATCCGACTTGGGGCTTACGTAGGGTCGGTGAGCAATAAGACATCGCGGGCTGCCCGTTGAGAGGGGAAAACAGAAGCATGGTAGTGGTCGGGGGGTTCAGGGTTTAGGGTTTAGGGTTTAGGGGTTTAGGACAGCTCATCACGGCCGGGAACGAAAAATATTTCAGCAACGTGAAGGGACGCTGCTCCGCAGGGCAAGCGCCATCAATAGTACTTGAAGGTTCACGGGGTAATTATAAGTAGGGTCAGTATTCAGAAAGGTAACGTTTATACACATGTGTATGTACATATATATGTAGACACCTGAGTTGAGGTACTTATAGCCCTACTTACAACTCCCTATGAACCTTCAACTATCCATGCAAGCATCACAGGACCTCACGAATAATTCGCCTACGCTTACCGGCGGCGGCAAGTACGCCACATGAGCCCTGCAAAAACGGCTGCACAACTTAGCCACAAAAACACCAGCCAAGGGCTGCGAGAGTAGACAGTAATTGCACACATGCTTCTAAGCATGAACAAGAAGAATACCACGCCGAAGGTGATCAAGGTGTGGATGTAGCCATTGAAAGTGCCATGGCCGTCTGGCTTAAGCATACCCTCGCTCACGAAATCCAATGCAACGAAGCTGGCGGGTAGCCAAAGCAGGTTCAGCCCCACCACAACGCTCAAGAAATAGTACAGGATACTCTCGATCGGCGCTTCTGCCTTACACATTGCAAGGACAGGCTCAAGACACAGACTGAGAACTGGCGTCATGATCAGAAAGATGTATGCGCGCGACAAGCTGGATGGCTTGATAATACCCAGTACCTCTTGGTAGAAAGGCCCACGGACGTAGTCCGAGAAGACCTCTAGGCTGCCGTACCAATGCATGATGGCATCATGGATGGCTCTTCGATCAAAGTCGCTTGTGCAATCCACATGGTCCAAGCTGAAAGTCTTTAGGTCACGCAGGAGCTGGTGTTTAGACCTGCAGCCCATTCCCAGCGCATGCACAGCCGGAATGAAAGAACAGCCAGATAGCATCAACAAGACCCCGATCAGGAAAAGTCCTGGACCATCTGAATCTGCCGGATGTTGTCGAGCTTGTCTGGCAGACCATCTGGCATACCAGAATGTGATGCTCAACAAGTGCATGCACATGTAGATCTGACACACCACGCCCTCTATATAGATCGGTGATATCACAATCTTTCCTGTTGGGTTCAGCTTGCGATATGCCGCGATTTCGAAGACGCACCAGAGTCTTGACCTCAAGTCTCCCATGTCGAAAACAGCCCTTTGCTACCAACAAAAACTCATTGCAACTAAAACCGAACTGGACTATACTGGATTTAAGAAGCAAGTGGCAGGTATGGTCCACTCCACAGAACGTGCAGCTCTGATGACGCCTGAAGAAAAGATCCAATGTTGTTGATCCCATCCTGGAGCTGCCTCTCGTCTGTCTGATTGATGCATACAACATCGAGAAAGCACACGTCCGACCATCCGGCCGCGTATGGTGAGCTTACGAGCCCGACCATTGCAAACATGCCGCCAAAAACCATCAGCCAACTTCCGATGGGAATGTCATCGGTGAATCCGATGGTGAGACTCTGCCAGCGGCTCCATAGGGGAAGAACATCGAGCATGCAAAGTGTGCAGGCCAGGAGAACACCTGCAGTCCAGGCGACCAACATGGCAGGCCATCCTCTTTGAAATAATAGTGAAAGGACCTTCCATCTGCCTGGGGTAACCCAAGTGTGTGAAAAGAATATGTCGAAGTTTTCCACTTGCTCGGAAAGGCCACTGAGCTTCGACCGTCGTTGCATGCTTAGCTCAGATGGTCGGTATCGCCAAACTCTGCCGGCCCATCGCATGGTTTCTCTCAGACGCACCCCTTGAAAACTCCCCCTGGTGCTCTGCGTGAGATCAACAGCCAGGTCGGATTGAAAACTCCGAGCATCTCGCACAGGATCGGCTTCACCCCTCTTTGACCCCGGCTCGTTTAATGAATCGGGTTCATGTTTCTCGCCACATTCGGGAGGAGAAGGCCAATGCAAACCGGACTCTTGTGACTCAACTTGCTCGACATCAATGGGCTGTTCGCTCTTCGAGCAACAGCCCCGACTGTGCGCTTGCCCCATGGCTCCAGGTATCCGTTCTCGGGAACGTTCCCTTGAAGGGCACCAGCCTAAATGCTGCAGGGCTGGTGAACACCTGAGGTGACAGGTTGCAACAGCGCCCTTGCAAAAAATGCAATGAGACAATTCATGAACCTAATGATGTGCTGACATAATAATATATAAGTGTCTAACAATATACTCAGACGAAATATAAATAAGATAGCAATAAAGTGATATTAACAACGTAATATGACAACAATATAAATAAATATTAGATATATATATATATATATAGACATATGCATACATGTCATGCAATAGAATATCAGAGAATACAATACAAACTTCAATCCCAAAACCAGCCCACTCCGCGGGCTGGCCCATGCGGTTTAGGGTTTAGGCCCACCCCCTTCCATATCCCCCGCCGTTCCCATACAGTAACAAGCGGTTTGATGGGGTAAGAATAGAGCACCCTACACCCTATGCTTGCTTCAGGTCTCCTGCACCGCTTTTTTCCTAAACCCCAACCCGAAACCCCGAACCCTAACTAGACCCAGGACTACCCCAGGAAGAAAAAGGGTACCCTTTTTGGTTTTAAGGGATTAGAAGGGAACCCCAACCCTAAAAAAGGAAGTAAGGGCCTACCCCCGGTCCTAGCTAAACTAAACCCTACTCTATTTGGGTGGTTGTCAAAATTATGCTCACTTTTGGGGTAACCTAAAATATTAGGTGCCATATTACAAAAGGGATCCAAAAAGGGACCATGATTTTGACAACCACCCATTTATAACCACCCATTTGTAACTCAAGGAGACCATACCACTTACCTACTAGTCCTGTATCGGCTGCCTCCAAGCACTGTGCATCGGCGGCTAGGGCCTTCAGCGCTGTGAGGGCCTGCAGAGCTTAGTGATCCAGCGGTCCATCCTACTTCGGTTTACGGTTTCGGGGTTCAGGGGCTTAGGGCTTTTTTCTATGCCGCCCGCCTAGCTGATGATACCATCGCACTGCAGGGACATTGACGGCAATAGCGACACCTGTCTCAGTAAAAGCTCTTCGCCGCGTTTCCAGTTGGCGTCGCTGGTTTCCCGCCCACCAGGCTAGACCCAAGGGTTTAAGGCTTTTAGGGTTTAGGCTTTTAGGGCTTTACGGTTTAGGATTTTCGGGCTTTAGAGTTTAGGAGTATGGGATTGTTGTGGGGTTCAGGGTTTAGATATTCGCGGCGGAGCTCTTACGGTATGGCGCAGCGGTGGTGCCCCGAAGCCTACAGGAGGACCACCTTTTACTATACCAACTATAGTTAAGGCACATATAACCTAATATAGGATCCTTATTACCCACTGTAGGGTTCTTCTAACTCTACGTATAACTTGGGGGGGCCCCTCCTTGTATACGGCAAGCTTGTGAAGAAAACCCACCCTGCCAAGCTGGTGTGTTCGAGGGCATAAGCGCATCTCGCAACCAATCACCACACAACTCACACAGTAGCTGCAAAGTCCCATGGGTACAAGGAGGGCGTCCCGAGTTATAAGTAGAGTTTTAAGGACCCTAAGCTGGGTTATAAGGATCCTGCATAAGGTTAAACTTGCCGTAACTATAGTTTGTATAATTCGGGGGCCCCTCCTTGTAGGTATAACTAGGGCTATAAGTGCCCTATTCAGGGTAGACTGTAGGCTACCTTACTCATATAGCCCTACTACTGACTGCCCATGAACCTTCAAGTAACCCTAAACCCTAAACCGCTTTAGGGACAATGAAAAGATAATGCACAGCAGCGCGCCTCAGCTGGAGCGCCATCGCTGAAGCCCTGACCAGCACACACACACAGAGGATAATGATGTTCCGACTTTGGGGAGTTTGCTGCAAGGGTTTAGGGCCGAGCATCCTGCCCCCAGAAGCGACATCAGAATACGATCCTAGCATGTGGAGGCGGATCTGTAAAAAATGAGGCCTAAACCCTAAGCACTGAACCCTAAGCCGTAAACCTTATAAGCCCTAAACCCTACACGCTTTTTCCTAAACTCTTAATTCCGATTAGGGTTTAGGGTGCGTGCGTCATGCCCCAGGCGGGTTACTAAAGGGAATCCCGGCACACTAAGCGTGCTTAAACCATGTTCCAACTTTATGGAGTTTACTAGAGCCTTGTTCATGGTTCGCACTGTTGAGAGGGCATTCTGCTGTCCGCACTACTGCAGCAAAACATTGCACTACTATCAAAACAAAGAGCGAGGCTGCTCAAACCCTAGATCCACAGTACCAGTATTCAAGTTGACGCTTTGCCTGCCATATTTCCGGTTCAGTGACTCACTTATCATGGATTTCCCTACTACCCCCTCTTTCCTATCCCCCTCTACGTTCCTCCCTTACATAGCCTTAATTAGGCTAAATTAGCCCTAAATAGCCTTAATTCTGGGGGGAACCCAGGGGAGGTAGTATGATTCGAGGTCTTCTCCAAAATTGTCTTGTAAGCCATAAGAGCCACTGGAGTCAACTGGCCTCGATGGGAAACTGCACGCAAAGGAGCCAAGCCGCCGAAATTGCTCTAAACCCTAAACCCTAGACCCTACACCCCTAAACCCCTAAACTTGGCCCTAATACCCTAAACCCTAAACCCTAAACCCTAAACCCAACCCTAAACCCTCACCGCAGAGGGCTGAGCCTCGACCACCCGGGGCAGCAATGCCATCGCTGGCAGCAGTTCACGGCGGAAGCCTTCCAGCATTGCCGACACTCTGCAGACCGACACGGGTACTCTTGGGTTTAGGGTTTAGGGTTTAGGGTTTAGGGTTTAGGGTTTAGGTATCAAGAGGGAAGGAGGGAATGAGGTACCCTATATGATCCCTTAGAGGGTATGTTTATAGGGCCCTAGTTCCCTCCTTCCCTACCAATTGCAAGAACCAGGGGGTGAGCTTCCTACCTCCATGCAACTCACATCATGCAACTCATGCCACTCGCATGCCTGACCTTCTTCGGAACCTCGAGTACTCAGGTTGGGCGTGTGTTCTGCCTCCCCTTCCGCAATGCTTTAGATGATCAGTGGAGTCTAGTGAGTCCGTGAAGAGCAAAGGCTCTGAAACCTCGAAAACCCTATGCACCCAAGACCCGGAGTTTGGGGTTTGGGCTTGGGGTTCTATGCAAACTCCATCGAGCTTGATTCAATTTGCAGCCCCTCACACATAAACCAAACCCACATCCCGTAATGCAAATACCACACCCATGATTAGGGTCCTCTTTGGGGAAAAGGCTCTCTTGTGCAAGAGTTCTCCCCGAAAGGGAGCCCTAAACCCTAAACGCTAAACCCGAAACCCTAAACCCTGGACCCTAAGCTCTGAAGCCCTGTTTGGAAGCATTTCACATCGTGCCCCGGCGGGCCTTGCGCTGCCAGGCGACCAGCAGCCAAGGCAAGACGCCGCGGGGAGTGAAAAGTATTGGAGTCCTTGCCAAATGCTAGTACATGGGTAGGGTTTTCGGGTTCAGGGGTTAGGGTTTAGGGTTTGGGGTTTAGTTGGCCCCCCGAGTTATAAGTAGAGTTGCAAGGACCCGAAATTGGGTTATAAGGAATAAGGATCCTAGATTCTGTTAGAAGCCCCTTAAGTGTAGTTAGTATAGTAAGCGGGCGCCTCCTTGTGTCAGATCCACCCAAACCCAATCGTCTCGACATATGTGTAACTCCGAATTGTACCCCAAAAAGGCGCAATCCTTCTTCCGGGAGCCTGCAAAAAAACAGTGCCCCTATTTCCACAACCCTCCTTTTTAGTATGGGCTTTAAGCTATGTAGGCTGGTACTCTGAAGGTCCAGTCAGGTCTGGATGTCGGATGAGAGTTCAGGGCAGCGTTTTGTTTACAGGTTGCTTTGCTTTTTGGGCTTTCGGATTTTAGGGCTGGGAGTTTGCTCTAGAGTAACCTGTCAAGACCTTTTCTGAAAAACAAATTGGGTGATGGTGGCACGTCTTCCGCAGCTTTCGCAGCTATCGTGTCGTTGCAATGCGACAGGCTCCTGCGAAAGCTAAACCCTGAGCCCCAAACCCTGTAAAGCCCAAAGGCACTGAAAGCCCGAATCGCTTTATAGTAAACTCCAAAAAGTTGGAACATCCCTCTCCCCATACCCCAAAAGGTACACTAAAGGGAATCCCAGCTCTACTCATCCTTAAACCATGTTCCAACTTTCTGGAGTTTACTTTAATTTGAGTTTTTTCGTCGGGCTGGCTCACGCCCAGCTTTTAACAACCAATCCAGGGCGACCGCTTCCTTGACCTCCAACTCCGTGCAAGCTCGGAAAGTGGCGCTTGAAGAACAGGATTTGGAATAGGATCCCCTCTTATCATGAATCATGGGTGCGGGACCTTCGGATATTTCAAAGGCCCGCCAAAATCGTAAACCCTGAGCCCTAAACCCTCAACTCTTTTGGGTTTAAGGGGGCCGTTATCTTACTTCTTCAATAACCAAGGGGAAAAAAAGGTTAAACCTTACCATTCCTACTAAACAAGGCAGCCCAAAAAGTTTAAAGTTCAACTAAAGGCGAAGCAAGTCCCCAATTCCCCTAAACCCTAAACCCCTAAACCCTAAAAACCCCAAAACACCCCTGCAGGGTGCGCTCCTGTGGCCATGCCTCGCGCGCGACCGAGGCGGCCAGGCACTGAACCTCAACATTGGGATGTTCCATGGCCAACTATAGGGCTTAGGGTTTAGGGTTTAGGGTTGTCAGGGTGTTGAGCGTTTTGAGCTTACTTGGTTGAGGGTTTAGGGTTGAGGGTTGGGATGTTGCCCGTTATACTAACAGCTCAGGGTTTAGGGCAAACTCTTTCAAGGCAACTGCCAACACACAGTGTGAACACGAAGCCTGCTGGGCAGCTGAGCAGCGTATAGCTGAAAGAAGCTGCCGCTTGCAAGCCGGCTTCTTACGTCCTGTCAAGTGCGCTGCTGACCTTGACTACGTACCACGGTTGGGCACCAGTTGAGGCAACAACAAGAAAGACACCTCTGTGTCAGAAGAAGTAGGCCACTGAACATGCACAAAGTAC